GTTTCATATTGAAGTTTTATTTCTGTTACATGGGATGTTTCATCATGAAAAGGTATTGAATTTTGTCATTTACTCTTTTTCATAGATTAATGTGACTGTGGGATTTTTTTCCCGTAGCCTCTCCATGTGGTGATTATATCCATTGATTTAAGATATTTCTGGAATAAAACCCACTTGGTTGTAGTATATAATTATTTTATGCACTGTTGAATCCTGTTTGCGACTATTTTGCTGGAGATCTGTGTCTGTACTCATGAGGGACATTAGTCCATAGTTCTCTTCTTTCTCCTCCTTTTTTCATCTTTAAAAATAGTTTTACCTTTTTAGAAAAAAATTTAATTTCATATGTATGAGTGTTTTTCCCACATGTATGTGTGTGCATCACATGCATCTCTATTTGCCTGCAGAGGTCAGAAGAGGTGTCATATCCCCTGATACTGGAATTATGGATGGTTGTGAGCTGCCATGTGGATGCTGAAAACCAAACCCAGGTCTTCTACAAGAGCAACAAGAGCTTTTAACCACTGAGGCATCTCTCCAGCTCCTTTTCTACTTATTTGAGACAAGGTCTCACTGTGTATCTCTGTCCTTTCAATATCTTGATGCTCAGTCCCCTTGATGCCGGGTTTACATGTATGTATAACCATGCCCAGCCCTTCTTATTATTAGTTTCTTTGGTTTTGGAATCAGAACACTACTAGCTTTATGAGATAAATGAACAAGTATTCTACCTTCTAGAAGACATTGTGTTAAGTTGCTCTTCCTCTCTTCTCTCCCCTCCATTCCTTCTCCCTTCTCCCTCAGCCTCCAGAGTATAGTGAGAAATCCATGGAGTCTCTTTAAAGGGCAAAGAGATTTATTAAGAAAGGAAAACCCGAGCCGGGCGGTGGTGGCGCACGCCTTTAATCCCAGCACTCGGGAGGCAGAGGCAGGCAGATCTCTGTGAGTTCGAGGCCAGCCTGGACTACCAAGTGAGTCCCAGGAAAGGCACAAAGCTACACAGAGAAACCCTGTCTCGAAAAACCAAAAAAAAAAAAAGAAAAAGAAAGGAAAACCCACAAGACTGAACAGAGGAATTATCGCAGAGTCCTGGAAAATGAGAATCAAGGTCCCATGCTGTTCTTCTGTGCCTGAGACTGTCCCAGCATCCAAGTCCCACGAGGGAGCAAAGAAAGCGTGCCTATGTGCATCTCAGGTCTTAAGAGTGGCCATGAGGCCACACCCCAAGGGCATGTACTTCAGGGTCATATACAAGTAGAGCAGTTACCTGTTGCATCTCTAGAGGTGGTGCTTCAAGGTCATAGACAGAACATCTATTCACTACATCTCCCCCTTTTGTCTAAATAAGAAAGTTCTAACCTAATATAAAACTATATACAATAGAAACAATTATCATGTATTGTCCAGGAGAGGGGAAAGGTAATTATTATAGCTTTGGTCTGGAAGTTCCAACCCCCATTGAGGCTTTGGTAACTATCACGCCTACAAGGTGGGAGCCAAGAGAGAGTCCTAGATCAGCATGGGACTCTTAATCCCAGGGTCGTGGGTTTGTGCCCCATGTTGGGTGCCCGATATTGGTGAAATTATTAAGGGCACTCCATGTAGTTAAAAGGAGATTTATTTAATGGCGTAACTTACAAATGAAGGGATAGGTAGGTTGAGGGTTCTGGGAAAGATGCAGCATAGTCCGGCAGTGTTCTCTGGAGAACTCTCCTCTGTCCACCTCTAACGTCCGGGCTCCCAGCAGCAAGAGAGCATGATGTGTCCTGATCTTGGTTCTTCAGGGCCCTCCCTTGGCCCTGCCTTGTAGGTGTGATAGTTACCAAAGCCTCAATGGGGGTTGGAACTTCCAGACAAAGCTGGAATGGCTACCCACTACAGGTAGTAACCTAAACAAAATTAGAAATACAACCAGCAAGAACAACATCAAACAAGAGGCATATGCTAAAATCCAGAGATGTCCAGAACATAGATAAATGGCATGTTATAGAGATTTTTCCAATAGCTGTCCTATTCTAAAAAAAAAAATCTAACTTTAGTATCTGAAATGTTCTTAGCTAAGATATGAGAGGATCATAACTGTAATTATCTAGTCTTCAACACCATCAAAGATCTGAGAAGAAACATAATAATACCTGAGAAAATAGAAAATGCAAGCAAGCAATTTCTGAAAATTTTACGATAATAGACAGAGACAGCTGGCAGCCTGGACAGTCATCTGAAGTTCTTAGCACCACTGGGGCATCTATTTTGGCTATAGACCTAGAATATTTTCAGAAGCAGGAATTTCGAAAGACCATCTTACCCTGTCTTGTCAAAGTTCAGTAGTCACTTTTCCTTGTGTCCTGCTCATCCAGAAAGGACAACATTCATATTGTTAGCATTTGAGGCAAGGGCAGTTCTTTGCCCAGTAGGCCATTTTGTGCCAGAAAGAAGACAAACTTCCAAATGGAATGTCTCACAAGCCCAACATTCTCTCAGTAGTAGATCTGTAAACAGATGTACGCTCAGGGTTTATTTCTTTTAGCTGGAGGTAGAATTCTCCATTGAAACCATCTTGATTAGGTTTGTTTTAGAGGGAGTTAAATTAAAATACCAGCTTAATATCTATCTTGTGTTTGTACATGTGTGAGAGTTTGTGTTCTTTGCAAAGACTGGTACACTTTATGGAAGTTCTGGAGCATCTGTGGACTCTGCTTATAGAGTCCCCTTGGTATCTTTTTCATGTCCCCAGGGTCTGTGTGAGCATTTTTGCTTTCATCTATGATACTAGCCATGTGTCTTTCCTCTTCTTTCTTTGTTCATTTCACTATAGGTTTGTCAATTTTACTTTCAAACAACCATCTCTTTAATCTGTTTTCTCATTTTCAATTTCATTGACTTTTTGCTTCTGCCATATTTCTTCTCTGTTTCAGCTTGATTTTAATTTGATTGCTTTGGGGTTTTCTCTGAACAATTTTAGTCTCTGGATGAGAACTTAAGTCACTTAATTGAGACTTCTGTCTTCTTTTGTATATGCAAAAGATGTGTACATTTGTCTCCACACTGGTTTATCTATATTCCACAACTTTCAGTATTATTTTTATTTTCAGATCTATGTATTTCTTATTTCCCTTTGGACTTCATGAAGACTGAAGATACTCAGATGTAGAATAAATTCAGTCTCTAGCACTAAAACAAACACAAAAAACCTGTACTTTAGACCTCCTTTAAGATCTTGGAGGGTTAGAACTGTACTGTTGTGATTTTTAATATTTGGAGTGTCTGGTTCCTATTATCTTTCTGTTATTGGTGTCTGGCTTGGTTTCATTACAGTTAGATAATATACAGTATAATTTCAACTCTCTTAGGTCCATTGAGGTTGTATCTAAGGCTTAGAATATGAATACTTTTTTCCTTTTATTTTATTTTACAATACCATTCAGTTCTACATATCAGCCATGGATTCCCTTGTTCTCCCCCCTCCTGCCCTCCTCTCCTTCCCCCCAGCCCACCCCCATTCCCACCTCCTCCAGGGCAAAACCTCCCCCGAGGACTGAGATCAACCTGGTAGACTCAGTCCAGGCAGGTCCAGTCCCCTCCTCCCAGACTGAGCCAAGCGTCCCTGCCTAAGTCCCAGGTTTCAAACAGCCAACTCATGCAATGAACACAGGAACCGGTACCACTGCCAAATGCCTCCCAAACAGATCAAGCCAATCAACTGTCTTACCTATTCAGAGGGCCTGATCCAGTTGGGGGCCCCTCAGCCTTTGTTTCATAGTTCATGTGTTTCCATTCGTTTGGCTATTTGTCCCTGTACTTTATCCAACCTTGGTTTCAACAATTCTCACTCATATAAACCCTCCTCTTTCT